AAGATAGGACTTTGTCTGCAGGCCCGGGCCTCGACCTCTTACTTTATAATGTTTGACCAGTAACTATGTCTCAAGCATAAGCCAACATGATTAAAAATAATTACGCGAAACTAGCTTGTTAAATGCCATAATTTAGAATGTACATAAGCATTGATAACACAAAGCGAACGTAGCTTTCTGAAGCGAACTGAAGCCAAAATATATACGGAATGCATTGCAGTATCGAAAATAATTTCAAGTGCTCCAGTTTACGTTACAAAGACGTCGAAATGTAAGTGCAGCATTTGATACTGAATTGTAAAGTTGGTCATTACATAAATCATGCGTCAGATACCCTAGCTGTTAAAGAAAATGCCACTTCATATTAAGGTCGAGCTATGTCTTTCCACTGTTATATATTCGCTACTGTCATTGTAGGCATAACTTAATTGGGAAAACAATTATTCATTCTTGCTATTACGTTGCACGTAACAGTTGTACGGAAGGAGCAGTACGCCGCTCGCAGCTAATGTGCACATTAATTTTAGTTCGTCATTGTTTGTTAAGTATACTTCTTTGTCGCCAAGTCTTACTTTCAGTTAGTTACACTGAAAAACATAACGTAGATGAACGCATATGTGAGAATAATACCAATCGAAGACATGTTGTCTTAGTTGAAAAAGATGGATGATGCTCGATGACCCTGAAGAGGACGCGCTGCCCTAAAGTTACGCGGCCTTGGCATGTGATGCTATTATATTCTGCGTTAAAATAGATATACTTTACTTTTGCATAATGCTGTTTTATTTTTGTAATGTAGCGTAAAGAATGCGGCTGGCAGAATTCGCTGACATACTGCTCGCAATGTATCAAGATACACGATTTCAAATCTCGCGGCATTTACGCTTTCTTCGAGTCTTTGCAAAGCGATCGACAGATGGCGCGATATCTTACGCCACTTTACGCCATTCCTGTTCATGCGCGGGGTCGTTCCTGCAAGTTTCTTTTGTTCGCGGACAACTCAAAAATAACTTTCGCTTCACGCTTGCGGTGCGTGCGTTTGAAGTATCGAGACCGCTCTTGAGATGCGTAACGTTGTGCGCGAGCACGCTGTTTGTAAGCTGTGTGCACTGACTGTATCGGTTGTGTCGTGCGATGCGCCGAAGGATCACCAAGACGTTCCATCAGGAGAAACGCCCGGGTAGAACGACCTCAAGTTGACGCCCACTTGTCAAAAATAGTGACCTTTTGACCCACCACACTGTCTTCGGTATCTGTGTTTCTGTGACACTCTGTTCGACTCACATCATCGAGCTCTCCCTCCCAACTGACTGGTAGAAATGCATCGAAATGTCTGGCGAGCCACGGGAGTTCGTGCGAATACCTGATCCCACGCATCAATCCGGTGGCGTCTTGTTTCAACACCCCCTCGCCTTTTGGTCGCGTACGGGCGTGCGTCTGGTTGAGATCCAAGTTTTGCTGCTTGGATCGGAAGCCTTTAGTTCTTTTTATATACTGTAGTCGGCGCTTTTCAGCGGCGAGAAAAATCAAGCGATGAAGAGCGTGTTTGGTGGCGTTTGGAACAAGATCGAATCCGGCAGGTCATTTCTGCCGGCGAGCTTACGATACGATGTGATACGGCAGCAGGACTTCGGTGGCGTTAGCTTAAGTTCGAGAAGCCTCGAGGCGGAACCCCCGTCTACGTCCGCTTATTCCGACGAGGAAGACTCCTTGGAGGAGCAGTGGCAAGAGCCGTCACGGACGGAAGCAGTTCGCAACGAAGAAGACTGGAATTTCTTCGACAATATCGTGCAGCTACTCGGCGATGCCGACTCCGTCGAGGTAACCGGAAAGCAATCACTAGCATGCAAAGCAGCTTAAATTATGGAAGAAACCCTTGCGCGTCTGAAGGAGGTTTTGCTCTCCGGCGAGATTTGTTGCTTTTGCTTGCGCTTCCTCGCCTGCATGCTTTTTTATTTTCTTTTTATTTGCTTGAACAATAATTGACGTGGGAAATGTATGATTTCATACGTATTATGGAATTTGCCGATTGTTCCAATATAGTTGTCGCGCATACAGAGTGGCAGTTGCTTCTCAAATATTGAGAGGTAATTCGTCTAATGCCTTGCGATAGCGAGTCAGGCCAGAGAGACTCACACAAATACCTGTAATATATCTCACTTTAACTGTAGTTTTGACGGCTCAATAGCCTGTGCTGTCAGCGCCGATTCATGTTTCGCATTGCACAGTAAGACGAAACGCTCAGTAACTGCTGCAGTAAAGCTGCTTAAGTAAAAACAAAACCCCCATAAGCCTATTTCACATAATAAAGTAAAGTGTACAACCTACAAGAAGTCATGCCATCCTTTTGCATTACCAAATTTACTGTTATTTAGAATTTAATCAGAGCTCTTATATGCGCCAAACACAACAGTAGGGTGGGTAAAAGACCATGGTCTCATTACTTTACGAGTGCCGCTTCTGTTATATTTCTCATATGTAGAAGTTAACATGGAAGTCACCTCAAGCCATCAGCTCCAATACTTTTTTTAGAAGACTTTTCCAACGGCAATTTATGTAAATGGGTGCCAATTTATACCATTTTATTTTGCCACCTCCACAAGTGTGTTTAGAAATATTTACTTTATTTTACCACTCGCAATATGTTGCACTGTGCAGCAACATGTTAGATGAAAAAGGATTCTGATTATGTGTATTCAAGGAAGCACATTATATGTGGATACAGTTTTAGAAGTCTGTGACAGTTTCTTCCCAAAGGCAGATGCAAACAAGTCTTCATCAATGGGCGTGCACTCCAGGCAGATGTCATGAGTCAGATGGCCCTGAGCCCACCTTTAAAGAAAAGTTGCCGAATGCACGAGTGGACTTTTTTTTTTTTTTGTCGCAGAGGCGATTGGTTGCTGTGCTTCGGTCAGCTATATGAGACTTTTCCAGATTTCTCAAGTTGCATTCAACTATATTATTATGCCAAGAATTCAAGCGCTTGACATTCCGTAAGTTCTGTGTCACATGCAGGAGTTAAATAATGAAAGACAAAGAGAAAATAAAATGGAAGGCATGGACGTCAACCGTGATTGTAGTATTTCGTTCGCCATCCTGCACTAAGGGGAGAGGGAAAGGGAAACAGAGATGGGAGGAAAAGTGGAGAAAAAAATAGATTCTTAAAAAAAAGCAGGTATAGGGTGAAAGTACAATAGCCTATTCGATTCGCCACTGCCATGCAAAAGTTCAGTGAGGGCTTTGTTAATTTTCAGTGGGAAGACAGTTTGTGTCTAGGCATTTCAGCAATAACTGTTCTGATAGAAACCTCGTCAAGGTGAGCCTATGAAAAATAAATGTGTTGAGGGCAGTACTGTTATGTGACGAATGCGTCTGGAAAACTTGAGGAGTGCCTAGCCTGGCTATTCCATGTTTGTTTTTGTGTAGAAGCACTACAGCAAGTAAACAAAGATGCATATTGACAACCGTGTTTCTTTAGGTAGGAGTGCATGTGTAGAACTTGCTTTGCAGTGCCCCTAAATCTTCTAGCCTGCTTGTGCCCTCACTGGTCATTCAAGGGCACAGTTTAACTTCGTCTTATAGTTTGTTTTCATTATGATAATGTCTGCAGCATAGACATATTCAAAAAGGCCTTGGGATTGTGATTTAATTCGATCTCCCCAAAACGACTTGTGTATGTTAGTTAAGAAATGTGGACTCAAAATTGAACATTAAAGAGACCGACAACTGCCCAGAACATGATAATGAGATGGCTGCACGGGTAGAAAAATTGTCCCTCATAGTGACCCACACTAACCCTATTTTTCTCGTGAGAAGTGGAGTTACATTTTATTTCTTCATTGCAAATCGCGAAAATAGCCTGTTGCACCACCTGGTGACAGGAACTTCAGTTATCCAAGCTGCTCTGTCACGCGAACGTAACCTAGTGTACGTGGTCAACAATTTTCCCATTAGTATTGAAATATTGTTTGCTTTTTTTATAGTATAAGATATACTCCATAAAAATGTACTTATGGCGCTGCCTTTGCATGATGTTATGATCCCGTGCTCGTCAGCACGTCTTGAGCAACTTTTCTACTTGCTCATGAAACTGTGCACGCAGTTTCCAGGTCGCTCTGGTTTTGAAGTGGCGTGGTTTTTTTACCTACACTTTGTCTCACAAATTATGCGCAGTGACGTTTTTGGTGACTTCACTTCGCTCATGTGTCGAGAGAGTAATGACAGGAGGACACGCCATCCATGACAAAGGCGTATCAACCTTGGGCACAGGTGCACGCAACGCAGTACAAATACAGGGATGGTGTATAAAGCCACATCGTCTCATTGTAACAGCTTGTTTTTTCAAAAGTAATTGTAAAGCTCAGAATAAATGCGGTTAAGCATAGTTACAGGAACACCTGCAAAAGCAGAACAATGACAGCATGCACAAGTTGCTAGAAAGGCTACTGGCATCGCTATCAATTCTCAGCGTTTCTATACAAAAAGGCACGTTGGTGTTCCGAGCCTTTTAAATAGAAAAATACTGCTTATAAAATGACTACGTTCTTTTGGGAGTAACTACTGCGGCTGTGAACTCTGCAAAGGGTAAGCTTTCGGTCGTACAAAAAAGAAAACTGGGTCGAAAAGAAGCAGTTGTTGGTCCCTTTAAGAGAGAACAGTCTCAAGTCTCGGCCATCTTGTGCTCTACTTGTTTTCTTACGAGAGTCCTTTTGTTGCTTTCCTTGGTCCACCCATGGTTGTTGTGTAATAGAAGTGCTCTCATTTGTTTCAATTAAGAACTGCAACCATGCTAAGCCTTGTTGTAATTCAGTCCTGTTTCTTGTTTTGGTTTGTTATCAATGACTTCACAGGATTCAATGACGATACGTATCATCACACTTGCTTTGCCAAACATTCCCCTCATTGATTGGTTATACAAAACCTATTTCTTCCAGGTGCTGTTGACTGTCAACTGAAGCACTTGCATTATCTAAATCTCTTTTTTTTTTTTTTTTTTGCAGAGACGCAATGACCGTGAGGCGATTCGACAGAAGTTGGCCATGGACACAGATGTGGAGGAGTCCTTTGGTATTGAGCGCACCAATCGCAAACCAAGTCTTGCTGTGAGGCTACAAGAAAGCAAGAACCTGCAGATCTGCTTCATGAATGAAACTGCTGCCGAACTGGACTCCTTAGAGCTATCCGGGGAAGCTGCACGGCCCCATGATGACAGCAGCACTCAACAGGCCACAAGTCAGCAAGGGAGCGCCAACACTTCTGTCGGGCTCCCCAATGGACTTCTGAATGCAAGCTCTGATGTCTCCCTGCTGCAGGTCAGTGGCCCAAAATAAGTTTTGTTTCTTCTCTACTAGACCTCATTTTGACCTACCTTACTCGAGAAAATTTATTTTAAAACCTTTTTCTCTAAAAACTGCTACCCTAAGCTGATGGTACATGAATCTGTCTTGCATGAATTATTTCTATTAGCTGAAAGTTCTATTCTGAGAGATCTAGACTATGTACAAAGTGCTAAACAAAAGCCCCCAAAATGTATGTTCACACTAGAAGAAGCTGCTTTCTGCTAACTTTTGACACCTGTCACGGTAGTTTAGTGGTTATTGTGTTTCACTGGTGAGGCCCGGGGTCGGGATTTTATCTCAGTCATGTTGGTGGCCAGAATCTGGAAGGAATTGGAACGCAAAAAGGCTTGTGTACCATCAGTGAAACCAAGGGAGTCACGATTACCCTTTAGTACCCACTACAGCATTCATTGCAATCACATTGTGGTTTTGGCGGGTAAAAACATGAAATACAATGACCAGCCATGACATACGTTGTGGTGGGGCTGTGTGCAACTCCAACATCAGTAAGTCAGCAACTGTTTACAGCAGCATATGTTCACCTGTTCCTAGAGGCCTAGTCAGGAAAGGGCACGAACACCACATACTCTTTCTAATGTTTCTTTCTACTACAGTATGACCCCTAATGTAAAACACCAGTCTAAAACATCTGCCCACCCAACACCAACTTCATGTATCCAAATGATGCCCCCCTCTGAAAAATATCCCTGGTTACACCAATGCCTGTCCTGCCTTATCTGTCCCGAAAAGCAGAGGGTTTAAAATGAGGATCTGAAAATTAAATGTTGTGTGATTTTGTGCTTTCCTCTTGTGATGTTGTTTAATTTTTGTTTTGAGAACCTGTGGATCTACACCAACTAATAAATGAGTGCAGAAAGGCAGGCTAGTTTGTACATCCTCAAAAAAGAGATCAACAGTGCAAACATGTGTGGGACAAAGAAAAGTAAGCCATCCTCATGTTTTTTTTCTTCGTCCATTATTTGTACTGTTATTGTCTTTTTTGAGACATTACCAACTAAAGCGAGATCTTAGTGCAATATCTCAAACAAGCCCAATCTTGGAGGACCAGCTCAACAAGCAGATGGTAGCTACAGTGGGCTCCCAAGAAACGAAACTTGCTTAAACGAAAATGCCTCATTAACGGAACTGAATAGGCTCATATGGCTGAATATCTATGTGTTGCGCAGTAAAATTCATCGGGTAATCGAAACAGTGTTATTGGTCACCTACGGTTAAATGACACAAACTCTAAACACAGCATTGACTCGCTCATGCCAAAGGTGGTCTCACAACCATGGCAACACCTGAGATCGAGACAAGCCAATCCGGTAGCCATTCTCACTTGTGGCTGTCGCAGCCAAGTCGGCGAGTCAATTGTGCATTAGGCCTATTTGTGCAGCGAAATGCGGTGGATTACGGTGTTATTTCAGCCTGATGGAAAGGAAGCAGCCGCACCATACACTCTCGTTTGAAAAAAAGCTTCAAATTCTTCAGGAGCTCGATCGAAGCGGCCTGCCCAAGATGGAGGGGGCGAAAAAATACATCCCGAAATCGACGCTGTCGCGAATTTGGAAGGACTGAAAATATTGAAGGCACAGTTAAGCACGGGACCTTTACATCTAAATGGATGCGGATGCAGATGACGCCTTATGAACAACTAGAAAAGCAGAAAGCTCGAGATATCGCCATGCAAATAGGTGCTAAGAACTTTGTCCTAAGCGACGCATGGCTCAACCGCTTCAAAACACGCCATGGCCTGGTCTTCAAATCAATCTCAAATGAGAGCGGTGCAGTCAACAGGGACATTTGCACCGACTGCAAACAGGCGCGGCTTAAGGAAATTTTGATGAGCTTTGAGCCACGAGACGTCTTCCCCGTTGACGAGATGGGTCTTTTTTATAAGGCACTTCCATCAAAGACTCTCACCTTCAAAGGCGAAGCCTGTAGTGGAGGAAAACGCAGTGAAGATCGCATCACTGTGAACGTGGGTGCAAACATGGCAGGAGATGAGAAATTGAAGCTGTTGGTAATGGGAAAATCAAGGGACCCGCATTGTTTCAAAGGCGTCCGACACCTTCCCATTGCGTACCATGGGAACGGAAAAGCGTGGATGACCATGGCCATTTTCGAAAACTGGCTTCGGGAGGAAGACGCAAGATTTATGAGGCAAGGCGGGAAGGTTGTCTTCATTGTGGATATTTTCCCAGCCTACGGTGAAGTTCAAGCACTCCAAGCCATCACTCGGGAGTTCTTGCCAGCCATGCAATGGCAGTGATCCAGCTGATGAATCAAGGGATTATTCAGAACAATAAAGTTAATTACCGCAGACAATTGCTTCATAAAATGCTGCTTAGACCAGGCAGCGGGAAATGCTACAGCATAGATTTATTGGCAGCCATCCACATTTTGGCTTGTGCCTGGGAGCAAGAGAAGGCAACGACGATACACAGATGCTTTCACCAGGCTGGCTTTCAAGCGCAAGAAAGCAGCACCTGTTGAAAAAGGAAGCCCTGCTGATGCCGACATTGAGACAGTATTCAGTCAGGTCGTACACTCTGCCCCTTTCACGCTGCAGGACTACAAATCAATTGATGAAAATGTTTGTACCTGTCGTGAAGAGACTGTCGGGGAAATGATTGCCGAAGTGCAAGATGAGGATCAACCTTTAAGCGATGAATGTGATGACAATACTGCCAGTGCAGTGGTGCCACCAGACCTATCAGCTAAAGAGGCTGTTGAACTTTTTCAGCGCTATTTCGAGCATGGCTTGTCCAGAATTTATAGCTAGTTTGTCAGGCATGGGTGCGTACCTTGTGAAAAAAAAAAACGACTCAAGCTTGCTGAACAAACCACCCTTCACTCCTTTTTTTTTTTTTCTCCTACTAATCCTCATGAGTGAGGTGAGGTTTGTGCAAGTTGAATCAAGGTCTTGGTTCACTAAATAAGTGTACTTTGCTTGAATGAAACTTCTGATAAATGCAACAGTTTTATGGATCCCCTTCAAGTTCCGTTTAAGAGGCGTTGACTGTCCTTCCGTTAGATCGATTCAGTCTTGCAGAGATGATTTGAGACAAACCAGCTTTTTCTTTTTTTAACAGGGGCATGTTGTGTGAAGTTCAGTAGTAGGCCCGCATGCATGATTCAAAAGTTTTCAAAATACTACTGTTTGTTTCTTTTGTGCCTCCTGGCGGCGTCATTCGCTGTGCTTTGTGGAACCAGATAGTGCACAGCCAGTATCTGCCGGGCAATCATTGTCAAGTAAGAAGGCAATTATCCAAAGTGCAGCATCACATCACGTTTTGCTGCATAAACCATTATTTATGAATAAACGGTTACTTTATAATTTAAGCAGTAATGTATTAAAATAATAAGTTAGGCATAAAGCAATGTTACAAAGCCAGTTCAAACACCATGACTCTGTCATGAAATCGATTTCAGTGACTATAGCATGCTTTTTGTCACTGCACACTGTCCTTTCTTATTTTTATTCATTTATTTATTAATACTGTCGATACCATCAGGGATCAATGCAGGAAGGGCATATTTGACTTGTTAAATAAAAAAATACAGATATAAAACGTTAAATTACGGGGAAAGGAGTAATTAGCAGTTAACAAGGTAAACAAGGAAACATAACAGTACATCATAATACATACTAATACAGAAAAATAAAGCAAAGAGGCATACAAAAGAGAAAACTGAAGTAAGAATACAGTGATGTAAAAAGTGGTGCTAAGAAAACGAAGTGACAGTGTGCATGAAAGGCGGAATTCTGGGTACAGTATAATAGCAAAAAATTAATACATAATTAATGGGGAAACAAGTACACTATAACTGGACAGCTGTAAGCTGATCTTCAAGCAATGTAAAGGAGGAAGATAGTGACGCACTTCTTCTTACGTTAGGGTTCAGCCTGTTGTATTAACGTGTCATTGAAGGAAAAAATGAATGCTTATGAGTTTCTGTATGAACAACAAGCTCATGTAATGATAATGCATGTTTGTGTCACGTTTGTCGTGTTTGTTTTAAACATAAGTATTTGAAAGTTGTCAATCTTTGCATTCTTGTGAATTAAATGATACATCATTTTTCATGGCACAAGCTTGTCTCGGTTTTTTAAGGTGAGGTGGCTGTTTTAGCAATACTGTGGGGGAATGTTTTAGTCTATATTTATTGTAAATGTATCTTAGTGCGTTTCTTTGACTGCTTCGAGTTTGTAAATGAGTTTTTTGGTGGAAGTAAACCAAAAAATTGTTAGTGTACTCCAAAGTTGATCGGACAACGATTTGGTATGCTAATAGCTTTGTGATAGGGTGTGCTACTATCTGACGTACATTTAAAAAACACAATCATTTAATGCAGTTGAGGTGACGTTTACATGGCGTTTCCATCTAAAGTCATGGGTTAGTGTTAAGCCAAGGTATTTATACTCTCTAACTGTGCTGAGGGTGGCGCTACCTATAGAGTAGTTAAAATTGGATGTGTGTTTTTTTACTTGTTATTGATGGAACAGCTCATTTCTTGATGTTCAGTGTCAGTTGCCATTCTTTGAATCATTTGGATATTAAAGATAAAAAGTGGTTTAATGCAAGATGGTCCCTATAAAAATAGATTACTTGGTATAAAACACAGTCATTAGCAATGAGCCTCACGTTGACAGGAATATTACAAGGCAGATTATTAATGTATATGATAAATAGAATTGGAGCCAGAATGCTTCATTGTGCAACTCCAGAATTTACGCTAGATTTATGGGAAAGCTGACTTTTACAAACTGTTTCGGTCACTAAAACATTTTATGCAAACGACGATGGGCCCTTTCCCCTAGGTTAGTTCGAGTTTATAAATTAGTTTATCATATGATGCACGGTCAAAAGCTTTTGAGAAGTCTAAAAGGATAAGATTAATTTGTTTCTGTATGTTGACACTCAGTGATACATTGTGTTCAAGAAGTTGCGTGACTGTGGTGATACCTTTTCGAAATCCTTGCTGACAGGGTGTTAGTATTTGTTCCTTTTTTGAGATGTTTGATTATATGCTTTAAGATGACGTGTTCTAACAGATTGCAGGCTGCGCATGTCAGTGAGATGGGTCTGTAGTTGGAGGGTTTGGTTTTATTTCCTGATTTATATATAGGGGTTACATTAGCTCTTTTTAGTCATTAAGGAGGGTTTCTGGGGACAATGATTTGTTAAATATTATGAATAAGTACTTCGACACCCAACCAGCGTATCTGCGAAGGAATGCACTTGATATAGTCAGGTCTTGATGATTTTTCAGTCTAGTTTGAGCAGCAACTTAAGTATGCCCACTTCTGTTATTTAAAGCTGATCTAGAGGTTTTGATCCAAAAGGACATGTCTGTGGTAGTGTGCCATCGTCCTCGCTGGAGATAGAGCAGAAGTACCCTATTTACTCGATTGTAACGCGCACTCGGTTTCCACGACGAAAAAAAAAAAAGTAGGACATCGATTGCAACGCGCACCCATTTTTCTCGTTGGCCTGCACGATCACACCACTTTGGAAAACGACTCCTTTTGGGAGCGTCTTCCGTTTAAATATGAGGTACGGGGGAAGCTTGTGCCTATCTGACGTGCAACGGAGCATTGCCGTCACTCTAGTTTTACTGTGGCCCGATGTCAGCGTGCGAATTTGCTTCGCCCCCTTCTTCTCGACGGTTGTGGTGCCAGGCATGTCGAGGTAAAGAGGCGTCTGATCGGCATTCCCGATTTGCTCAAGCAGGTAGCCGTTGTTGTGCCGCAAGTTTAGGACGAACCTCTGAAAACTGTGAAACTCCTCCGGCAACTTTTGGCATATGCCCGTTCGCCTTCGGAGGGAAAAGCCTTTACTTTTCATAAAGTTAGTTAGCCAGCACCTGCTCGCTTTAAACTGGCTCGGCATTAGCCCTTTTTCTAAAGCTAACTGCATAGCCTGCACTTGGAGCAGTTTTGTCGTCACGGGCCACTGTGCCGCTCACTGCTCAATCACATACTCGCCGAGCAGCTCTTCAATTTGCGGAAACCGACCCTGCCTGCTGTGGTCCACTGAAGCCTTTGCGTTAATCTTTGCTGTCGACAAAATTCTGCTTTTGTTTTCGCCAGTCTCGCACGCACGTTTCGGGAACTCCGAACGACTGCGATGTGGCCCGATTTCCGTCCATTTCAGCCCACGCGATGACTTTTCTTTTAAGAGTGGCATCGTGGTACACTCGTCGAGTTTTTGGAGTCGGCCCTTCTATGCCGTCGATGCTAATGCACTACAAGATGACGAACTCCTCAGCACACGTACGAAGTGCCGCACATGGGAAACACATAGGCAGAAATGGCCGACTCACGTAGGGGGCGACTATTTTGGAAATGCCGATGGCAATAGAATGGCCATATGCATTTTTTTTTTTTCATACTAGATTCTAACGCGCATGCGATTTATGAACTCCCTTAACCGGAAAAAAACTGCGCGTTGGATTCGAGTAATTACGGTAGTCATTAAGCAGGTTAGCAGACTTTTCGTTGTCTACATCTATTCTTTTGTCATCATTGCAAGTTTTTCGGTTTATTTAGTTCCAAAACTTCGCTAGAACTGACTTCAAGAAGTTTGTGAGTGTATTTGTGAAGTAGGAGCATTTAGCTGTCTTAGTTTTTGATTTCATACATTTGATTGCCATGATGAGATTGTGATGTTTTAATGGGTTGGTTTTCAGCAGTTTTCTCATCCTCCTTACTTTACGTTTGACGTGTATAACTTTGTGCGTTATCTATGGATTATGGTTATAAGGTTTCTTTTTTCTTATTGGCATGTACCTATTTATACAATGAAATATGATCACTTCTAGCACGAGCCACAAGACATTGATGTTCGAGCAGTTGTTACGGTAAAGTTCCACAAACGATTCATACTCTTTAAAAGAGCAAGGTGATCAAGTATATTAGTTTCCTCAGCTTTAATGTAGTCGGGGTATGCGATTGTTTCTTGAGGGATCACATTGTCGTAAATGGGTATGGTGCAAGATGTGATCTTGTGATCGGAAATGAAAGCGAACACACGAGCGCGTGGCCTGCACTTCGCCGCGGCTGCCTAGAGTGCCATCAACTGACAGCTAAGGTAAGCGCGTCTGCTTTTGGCTCAATCCCCCGTTGCAAGACCAGAGCACAAGCGTAATCTAGCATCGCTTGTCCAATGGCCATGACTTGTTAGTTTGTTTGCCAATAGCGGAGGTGTTTTCTTTTACTGTTCGTTGATGAAAGTAGAGGCAAGCGCTGCAGAGTGCAGGCCTCGCGCTCGCGTGTTCCCTTTCATAAAGGACTGTGTGCATTGTAGTGGCTTAGTTTCTCTACTACAGTCTACAAAGCATCATTCAAAGTTTGTCTGCAGTGATTGTTCCTTGTCCTTTTTAAGTTCACTATGGGACTTTTCGGGCTGGCAAATGTTTCGATTACTGGTTAACATGTTTGTTAGGGTAAGGAAAGACATCGACAGTTCAAGGCAAGCAGGTTGTCCATTGTCTCCCCCTCCACATTCAGGACTTTCCCTCACAGCCTGACACTTTGCTGACTAAAGCTTTTTTAACCTGCAAGTACAGTCGAAACCTACGGTATGTGTGCTGTCATGTAAGAGACACTGATATCGCAGACAAATGGGTATAAGAGGCACCAGTGTGCCTGCATAAATACAGGGGTTGATAAGAAAACATACATGTGGCACCCTGCTCATATAATAGACAAGAGGTGCTCCCCAGTGCATGTCTCTAATAAAGGGCTTCAACTGTAATAGTCCCTTATACTCACGTGTAAAGGATGAGAACTACACATGATTTCAGACATGTTCGGGATTCATACAAGCTAGCTAATTAACGATCCATACATCCACTATTGGGTTCATCTTACAAGGGACAATGGAAGGTTTTTTGTAGAATTGATGTGCATCAATCAGAGGGCACTATGTAGCTTTCAGCCAACTGCCCAGTGATTAGCCATGGAGGTCCAGTGGTTACAGTACTCAATTACTGATCCGAAGGTCGCGGGATCAAATCCCAGCTGTGGCCACTGCATTTTCAATGGACCTGAAAATGCTTGAGGCCTGTGTACTCATATTTAAGTGCACGTTAAAGATCATCGAAATTTCTGGAGCTCTCCACTACGTTGTCTTTCATAATCATATCGTGGTTTTGGGACATTAAACTCCGGCAGTTATTATTACAATTATCAGCCGCCCAAGCTCACTAACATTGACCACCTGGGGTACAGTGAAAATGACAGGGCATGCATGTCTGCTCTCTAATTTAGCTGTGGCCCCATTTAACTTGCTAAAGTAGCTACGTTGTGCATTGTGATGCAGAAGCCATGCATGAAAAACTTCAGTGCATGGCGTCATTACAGGATTGCACCGCATCGGAATTGTTTCACTTGTGTAGCCATTACATGTAGTGATATGTGCATGCTGCAGACGAAGCCAGCCCAGTGTACGAGCCCTCCAGTCAGGCGGGCCTCACACGAGGAGGCTGCTCCCAAGCGGCCATCTTTCTTCTTCAACCGGCGCAAGAGCTGGCGTCAAAAGAAGACTGATGGCAATGGTGAGCTCAAAAAAGAAGCCAAGTCCTGGAATGGCGAGGACTTTGCCACTCGCCAGGCAAGGCTTCAGGCGGAAGCCAGAGCAGCGCTGGCACAAGCCAAGGAGATGGCACGCATGCAGATGGAAGTGGAGCGACAGCAGAAGAAGAAGTCGCCCATTGCCGACATTGTGAGTGCTGTCGGGCTGTTTGGTTCAATGGTTTATTCATTTTGCTGTGACTTTTGTAAAAGCATCATTGCTTGTCCTTGTTGTTTTGTTGGCGAAAGAACAGTCAAGCATAGATCGGCAAAATGAATGGAACTCACTCAGGCTTACTAGATAAATATATTTTTCGCTTAGGACTCACTCGGACTTACACCCGGCAAAATTTTGTTGAAGCAGACCCACTTGGACTCATACTCACGAAATACCTCTCAAACCAAACTTAGTCGGACTCGGACTCAAATAGATTCACTCACTCAGAATCACCAGAATATAACTTGACCGGACTTACCCGAACTCACTCACTGAAACATTGCTCAGCCAGGCTCACTCAGGCTCAGGCTCAGACTCCCCAAAATGTTTGCCAACCGGACTCACTCTGACTTGGACTCCCCAAAATTTCCTGAAGTGGGCTCACTAGGACTGTCAGACTCACCAAACTGACACAAGCCACTTTTAGCTTTATTGATTATGTTGTAATAATCCACAATTTACACTTCTGGAGTAATATTCGATAAAAAGTGTGTACCAAGTAGTTGAAGTACGCACTACAGGTAAGGGATATCACTATCGTGTTCAACTCGAAGTTTAGGTTTCTTCAATTTTTCTTTTTTCAGCTACCTCTCAATCTTGAAGTGTGCCTGTGTAATTACACACTGCATTTGGCTTTTCTTGATCTAACAATTTTCAAAACTTATATGGCATGTATATGATGTGGTGACATTGTTTTGTGAGGTGTCAGTCTAGGTAGTCTTCAGTGGTGATTATGTAATTTTTATTGCTTCCACTGCATTCTAGATGTTCATGTTTCTCTGTGCAACAATTCCACTTCCAAGAAGCCTTTCGGAGCTGAGTTGAATTTGTACATTGTTATGTTCCAGGTTGGCATTTCTTTTCCTGACAGCCGCCATCGGCTAAGCCGACAGATGCTGAATGACATGAACGTGGCACAGCTGCAAGTGATTGTCAATGACCTCCACTCACAAATTGAAAGTAAGTATGCCTTGTGTCTTCTGCACTTTTTAAAGTGTTGTTCAGATTTTATTAGCAGGAACAAATCTATGTTATGGGTACCATAAAAATGGTACTGAAATTAAGGTATTTAGTTGGCCCAATTGAATGGTATAGGAAAACATTTTGACAAGTTAAGGTAAGCATCTGCCGATTTATTTCTCTGCACTGAAAAGCTTGTCTTTGTTAATATTGGCATAATATGTGAGACACATTAAGAAGATAAGGTTTTTATGGAATATACAGCATAGCAACCGTCTAAGCGAGTGGTTTTCAAAGGGGGGTCTGCGAAGCCATTTCTATGATCCGCAAAACCTTCACCTGCATTTTTCTTTAAGCGTGACTGCACCACATATTCATTAACTGTCCAAAATGAAGTGATGTGGCACATTTGTTTGATGTTTTTGGTAGCAATAAAAGACACCTGTTTCACGCTCCAGTTGCATTTCAATTTACCTACGAACCCCCCTTCCCTGCCCTCTCCTGCAAGGGGGCCTCCATCACTTCCACCAGTACCCAAGGGGTCCCCGACACATCCATGGCTGAGAACCACTGGTCCAAGCAATAAGTTCTGTGTTTTCCGAGCTTGTCATTTAACACTTCAGCAAAGTTTTTCATGTCTTTCTATAGTGCACAAACTGCACTGTTCGTCGATTACAGATAGGATGTGCAGTTCGTGCTTCTCTCTGCACAGCACACTCCTAAGGTCGAAGTTTCTTGGTTGCAGTCACATGCGTTCTACATTTTGCCTTTCTAGCAGTGGTACACCATCACGTAAAGAGGCACCATAATAAGCATTGAATAGTCATGGCAGTCTAAACAGAGTTTTCAGGGCTACCACAATGGGTGTACCGAGCATCTGGCTACTTGTGACATGGAGAATGCTGTGGTTCAACCAAACCTCTGCAAAGTGCAATTGAGCCTATTAAAGTGCCCCTGTCATGTAATGCATGCAATTCACATGGTTTGACACCTAATGCCATATCATGCAAGCACTACGTAGTTGGAAACTTGACTCCTAATGCGATAAGATAGTCTCCTTTTGTGGCAGCTTGCGAGTACTGTCACAGGCATTAGCTGACTTCAGATGGTTGACACTACCACCAGGGACGGCTGGCTGGCTGTTGAAATGAAGGCCTATGCGGTAAATAGTGTTTTACATCTGCTGCTATAGCTGTAAGTGTGGTTGGCTCATAGTATTCCCAGGGGCAATTTTGTGTGAATACACTTCCACCCAAGCCACTCATGCATCATGTGAAGCAGCTCCAGCTTGCAGCCGGTTGTCTGTTCATCCGCTTTCGTTCTTTTTTTATATATCTGTAGTTATTTATGCATTAAAGGGAAATATACCTGCTAATTTGTCACATGCTTTTGCTGACTTAGTTTCCAGTTCTCTCTGCAAGGCTATCACAAGAATTCTCATTCAATAGATATATCTTGAAACACCAAGGTTTGGCTAATGGTAAGGACAACAAATCAGAAATATTAGGGCTGTTATCTTCAAAAAATGAGCAAATTTGTGGCCTGATTCTTAGTGATTGGTGCTAAAAGCTCTTTCATATTTGTGGTAAATAGTACTTCATTATTTCAATAATAATGAACAGGGACACCTCTTTTATTACTTACAAAGTCACATGAACTGCTGTCTAGGCATGCTGAAAGAGCTTGCTTATCGATGCGCTTGACTGCTTCCTATTTTCATAACCTCGCCAAATTTCTTTCAGTAACTCAGATGGTTCCATTCTCCTATGATGCAACGTGGTGTGTAAGGATAAATTCTGCTCAAGAACTACTCTGATGTGTTTTGTGCACTTACTGCATGTATGGTGTATCAGTATGAATTTTTTTGTGCTCCATTAAATCAACTCCCTTTTTTCTTGACTCTTTGGTGTTTTAACAAATGTCGTATAGCTGTTCATAACAGGATGCAAGAGCAATCACTGCAAGAGGACCCATTGGCAACCTTTTGTTTTAACAAAGCAGTGTGTATCAGTGGTGAGGTCTGAACTGAAAGATACTTGTCGTGTACAAACTTCACCTGTGCTACAGGAGACGAAAACTTGGACAATCTATGCGCAATTTATATACATATGTGTGTATTGTTCATTTCCCCTTCGACGCTTTCAAATACGCATGCCAAAAACTCCTTTTATCAATGCCTTGTTTTTCATCCTTTCTTTTTTCAACAAACCTGCTTAGAAGTTAGTTTTCGTAATTATGCTCACAGTCTTCCAAAAACACCATTGTAGCCTGCGGAGAGCCATTTTCTGCGCATACTCCTCTTATGTTTTTTTTTCTCTGAAAATTGTTTAATGCTGTGTAGTATATAGCACATATCGTGTAGAAGAAGACAGTCATCTTGTATAGTGGTATCACATCAATTTTCATTCCAACATCAATAAATCGTTTGTTTGCAGCTTCATGTCTCCTACGCTTATACCAACACTACTGTGATGGTAGCTGCCCACTTTGCTGTTTCTTTCATTTTTTCAGAGTGATTTTGAAATAATCTTATCAATGACTTTATTTTTTCTATTATTCTTAGGTCACAATGAAGATCTGGTCAAGTTTTTGCTGGAGAGAGATGATCTTCATATGGAGCAGGACTCCATGCTTGTTGATATTGAAGACATGACAAGATACTTGTGAGTAAACCTTTTTGTTTATGTTAAGCATGCGGTCTCTGCTGATAACTTTATGCTTGAAACCTTTGTTAACTCTTTATGTTATATGAAAAATTGAAGATTACCAGCAATGTTTGCCAGTATAGCTCAAATTACGTGGTCTCTCCTGGTACGTAGAGGTGGACAGAACCACTGAACTATGAAGTTTACAAGAACTGGGTGTAAAGACTTTCTGTCTGCATCTTTTCCACACTTTGTAGTTTCGCAAGCTTTTACTAAAGGGTCAGCCATCTTGTTGCACGAGTGAATGTCTGCTGCCACAGCAGTTCATTGCAGTGCATATCTTAGGTGATGTTAACTTGAGAAAATACCAGTCTAGTGAGACTGCCATTTTAAAGTTGAATTTTCGGCTTCTGCATAGTAAAAGCCACAATATTATGATGAGGCACACTGTGGTGAATGGCTGTAAATTAATTTTTATCACCTGATGTTCTTTAACATGCGACCAAACATTAGCAAGCATGCTTTTTTTTTTTTTTTCAATTCACCCCCAATAAATGCAGCCATCATGGCCAGTAATCGTGTTTGAACCCACATTCTTAGCAACACGACATCATTCAACCACTCTGCAGCCACTGAGGGTGAACACTCTGCTTTAGGTAATAGAAGACACCTGTCACAAATGCATATTTAGTGCAGCTTCTTAGCATAGATTTTTTGGCTTGTACAGTCTTCAAACGATTTTCCGGACCTGGTGGGGACCGCCAAACAGTCTCAAATATTGAACAGTCTAAAAAATGGTTATGCCGTGAAAATAAAGTTTATTTGGATTAAAAAGGCCTAACAAAGATCCCCAATAACGCTAAGCTGCATGCTGTTCTTGGAGACGAACAAATTGGGATTTATTTTGGCTACGGTAAAATCGTTTGCAAGTGCGTTGGCAATTGCTGCCACTGAGTTTTGCGGGCGGCAAAGTTGGTGGCTTTATGGAACCAAGCAAACAAACCTTGATGCTGGTCGCAAAAAGGATTTGTGCAACATCTCACCTGGTTAGTGGGATTTAACAACACGGTCAAGGCTTCTTTTACCTGCACCGACACCACATGGTACGTGAGCCTCCAGCATTTTGCCACCATCAAAACGCTACCGTCGTGGCCGCAAGCGAACCCGCCTGTATCAGGTCATTCGCTGAGCACCGTGACAGCAATCGTGAACAGCAGCGAGCATGTGACACGCAAGATGGCTCACTCTTGACACACCACTAATACGACCATGTGCACAATGACGACCAGAAAAACAAATGCCCAGGAAAAAAAAGCAACCTATTAGCATAGTAATTATGACAGTTACACTGACCGAAAGAGAAAAGTTTTACCGTTTTGCTAATCATGAAAAGTCAGACATGGCCTTGAAAACTATAAGGATGTGCGGGCTTTCAATGTTGGAGGCCACACAACTGGTCGTTTCAAGCCGAACTCGACCAAGCCAACAAGAATTTCAACATGGCAGCTTTCAAAATTGAGCAGCATAGCTTAAAACAAATGATTTAGCCTGTAAAATCGAACTTTAGAACATAAATTTGTCCGAAGAATCGATCACGAAAATACATTACTGCAATGGGAACTTTGACGGTGCATATGTGGAGTCCGAAATACACTCAAACCTCGTTATAACAAAGTTGAAGGGGAGCCACAATTATTTTGCTTTATTGGTTATAACAGTTTGTGGCAGTGTATACTCATATGGTCGCACACCCATAAGCATGCAAAGAAGGAAACCGCCTAGCGGCCTGATGTACCGCTACACGACCACGCATGCAATGGAACACAGTTGAGTCTCATTAATTTGAACACGCTTAATTTGAACTTCCGGTTAATTCGAACTCACGCAGTGGTCCCATAAAAGCTATGTGTATTCGAATCGGTGAAAAGACCCTGTAATTCGAACGCGCAAGCACCTGCGACAGTTAATTCGCACATTTCGTGCTCCGAAAATGCTCTCAGCACCTTGCCCAAACCCGGGGCGGCATTTCTCAATGCTGCACGCAAAGAAGGAAAAAAATAAAAGCAAAAAAAAGACTGTGGCAGATTGTTTGCTCTTTCTCAAATGCGATCTGCGACGCACCTGTGCCACGCTTCTCTCTTTTCTATCTCTGCACGTAGAGACCCTTCTCCTTTAAAGGCCACGCGCAGAGAGAGAGAGAGCAAAAGAAGAAAGCTGTCGCGGAGAGTTCTCCTTTCTCTGTGAAGAGGGTAGCAGTGGAGACGCAGTCGTTGTCATCCTCTTTAGAGAGTGTTCGTAGTGGACTTAGCCGCGCGCTACTATGCTTCGCAAACTACATGCGAAATTGATTGACTCGCTGCAAGGCAAACGCGTGCAGACGCGCATCACCGCTTACTTCAACTAATGACGGATGTCCTCTGATTTGTGAATAAATGTAAGTCTTCTGAAGCTTACCCATCGTGTGTTCTTATAAGTGAGAGGGAAATCGCTTTGCGCCACGGCGCCACTTCTTAGTCATGTCACACGCTGAGCACTTCCTCAATCTTCTCCACTGGCTGTGTGAGGAGGAGGGCTCTCTCGACCGCGCATGGCGTGGCTGTAAGGTCGGCGCGAGGATTTTGAAAGAGCTGCGCCCAACGAGCTTCAAACTCTGCAGAAAACTATATACATAACACATTATGGTAAGTTTTTATAGACTATTTGATTGACTAATTTACTTCGTTATATCCATTTACCAGTCAATTTTACTTCGTTACAATGAGGTTTAAAATGCATTGTTCTCAACGGAGATTTCAAGGGGAATTTCATTCACTTCGTTATATCCATTATTTCATTATATCCTGTTACGTTATAATGAGGTTTGAGTGTATCCAAGTCCGAATTTTCATCATCATCATCATCATCAGCCTGGCTACGTCCACTGCAGGACAAAGGCCTCTCCCATGTTCTGCCAGTTAACCCGGTCCTGTGCTTGCTGCTGCCAATTTATACCCGCAAACTTCTTAATTTCATCTGCCCACCTAACCTTCTGTCTCCCCCTAACCCGCTTTCCTTCTCTGGGAATCCAGTTAATTACTCTTAATGACCAGCGGTTATCCTGTCTACACGCTACATGCCCGGCCCATGTCCATTTCCTCTTCTTTATTTCAACTATGATATCCTTAACCCCCGTTTGTCCCCTAATTCACTCCGCTCTCTTCTTGTCTCTCAAGGTTACACCTACCATTTTTCTTTCCATTGCTCGCTGCGTCGTCCTCAATTTAAGCTGAACCCTCTTTGTGAGTCTCCAGGTTTCTGCTCCGTAGCTAAGTACCGGCAAGATACAGCTGTTATATACCTTCCTCTTAAGGGATAATGGCAATCTACCTGTCATAACTTGAGAGTGCTTGCCGAATGTGCTCCACCCCATTCTTATTCTTCTAGTTACTTCAATCTCGTGGTTAGGCTCTGCGGTTATTACCTGCCCTAAGTAGACATAGTCTTTTACAACTTCAAGTGCACTATTACCTATCTCGAAGCGCTGTTCCTTTCCGAGGTTGTTGTACATTACTTTCGTTTTCTGCAGATTAATTTTAAGACCCACCTTTCTGCTCTCCCTGTGTAACTCCGTAATCATGAGTTTCAATTTGTCCCCTGAGTTACTCAGCAATGCAATGTCATTGGCGAAGCGCAGGTTACTAAGGTATTCTCCATTAACTCTTATCCCTAACTGTTCCCATTCTAGGCTTCTGAAAACCTCCTGTAAGCACGCGGTAAATAGCATTGGGGAGATTGTGTCCCCCTGCCTTACACCCTTCTTGATTGGTATTCTGTTGCTTTCTTTATGAAGCACTATGGTAGCAGTTGATCCCCTGTAGATTTCTTCCAGAATGTTTATATATACTTCATCTACGCCCTGATTCCGCAGTGTCTGCATGACGGCTGATATTTCTACTGAATCAATGCCTTCTCGTAATCTATGAAGGCTATGTATAGTGGTTGGTTATACTCTGAGCATTTCTCTATTACCTGATTGATAGTATGAATGTGGTCAATTGTTGAGTAGCCTGTTCGAAATCCTGCTTGTTCCTTTGGTTGATTGAATTCTAATGTTTTCTTTACTCTGTTAGCAATTACCTTTGTAAATAGCTTGTACACTACAGAGAGCAAGCTGATCGGCCTGTAATTCTTCAAGTCCTTGTCATCTCTTTTCTTATGTATTAAGATGATGTTAGCGTTCTTCCAAGACTCTGGTACTCTTTCCATCAGGAGACACCTCGTAAACAGGGTGGCTAGTTTTTCTAACACAATCTGTCCTCCATCTTTCAGCAGATATGATGTTACCTCATCCTCACCAGCAGCTTTGCCTCTTTGCATGCTCTCCAAAGCTTTTCTGACTTGTTCTATCATTACTGGTGGGGTGTCGTCTGGGTTACTGCTAGTTCTTATAGTATTAAGGTCGTGGTTGTCTCGGCTACTGTACAGATCTCTGTAAAACTCCTCCGCTATTTTAACTATCCTATCCATATTGTTAGTTATTTTGCCTTCTTTGTCCCTTAGTGCATACATCCTACTTTTGCCTATCCCAAGTTTCCTCTTCACAGCTTTGAAGCTTCCTCCGTTTTTCAGAGCGTGTTCAATTCTCTCCATGTTATACCTTCTTACATCGCATACTTTACGTCTATTAATCAACTTCGAAAGCTCTGCCAGTTCTATTTCGTCTGTTGTACTTGACACTTTCATGGTTTGACGCTTCTTAATTAGGTTCTTCGTTTCCTGGGAAAGCTTGCGAGTGTCCTGTCTAACTACCTTGCCTCCAACTTCCACTGCACACTCCGTAATGATACTCGTCAGATTATCATTCATTGTATCTACGCTAAGGTTGGTTTCCTCACTAAGAGCCGAGTACCTGTTCTGCAGCGACACTCTGAATTCCTGTACTTTCCCTCTCAGTGCTAGCTCATTGATTGGCTTCTTGCGTATCAGTTTCTGTCGTTCCTTCTTCAAGTGTAGGCGAATTCGAGACCGTACCATTCTATGGTCACTGCATCGTACCTTGCCAACCACTTCCACATCCTGCACGATTCCTGGGTGTGCGGTCATTATAAAGTCTATTTCGTTCTTATTTTCGCCATTAGGGCTCCTTCATGGAGTCCGAATTTTAGGAGTCCGAAAAATTTGTAAGCGACTGTGGTAGTGACACAGCCAAATGAAATTTCTTAAGTTCTTACACTAGGCAAAAAAAAAAAAAAATTGAGATATTACAATTCTATGCATTGCTGAGGGCTCAGATTTGGTGGCTTGTTCATGGTGAGAATATTTCTGAATAGTTATTCATTCATTGACCTCTTGCTTAGAATTGCATCATTATGTGCCTGACTACTCCCACTGCGTGGCAAATGCTTCTCCTATGTTTTTATTGTAGGTTTCGCTGTGACTGTGCTGTGCCTTCTGGCAGGCCTGGCATTTTTTTTTATAGTGGTCAGAAAATGCTGCCAATCAGTAGTCAAGGCTGCTGTGAACATGCGAGCAAGATATTATACCACAGTATGCAAGCTGGAATTCATAATCACCGTCGCAGACCGATTTTCCGGACCTGGCGGGGACTGTGAAATAGTTGGAAAAATCGAACAGTGTGAAAAAATGGTCCAGCCATGAAAGTGAACTTTATTTGGATTATAAAAACCTAAAATGAATTCCCAATAATGCCATGCATCATGCTTTTCTTGGAGACGAGCCAGTTTGGTTCTTTTTGGGCTACGGTAACGTCGTTGGCAAGCACGTTGGTAATCGGTGCCACCGACCTTTGTGGGCCGAGCTAACAATGGAACCAAGCTCCATGGAACCAAGCTAACAATTAAACTTGATGCCGGTCGCAAAAAGATGCATGCAACATGTTGCCTGCTTGCTGGAATTCGACAACATGGTCTAGGCTTCTTTTACTTGGACCGACGCCGCATAGTACGTGAGCCTACAGCACTTTGGGACCATGAAAACACTATACCGTCGCGGCGGCGATTGAACGTACGTGTTCCAGAACACTAGCCAAGCACCGTGATTACGAAGTGCTACCGAGTGATTGCGAACAGCAGCGAGCATGATATGCAACAGCAGAGAGCATGTGATGTGCGCAATGGCTCAGACACACTTGGCACACGACTAACATGTCCACATGCGCAATGAGGACCACAAAAACAAACACCCAAAAAATAAATACAACTTACCGACATAATAATGATGATGATAAGGTTGACTGAAAAAGAACAGTTTTGCAATTTTTCTAGCCAAAGAAGATCAGACATGGCCTCCGAAACTGGAAAACTTTTGGCGCCCTATCTTGGAAGCCACACAACTAGCCACTGCAAGCCACACTGTACCAAGCCAACAAAAATCCAACATGGCGGCTTTCAAGATCGAGTGGCATAGCTCAAAACAAACAATTTAGTCCGGAAAATCGAACTATGGAACTTAAATTTGTCTGATAAATCAGTTGCGAAAATGCATGAATGCAATTGAAACCTTGGTGGTGCATTTGTAAAGTTCGAACTATGCCACAAGTTTGAATTTTTGGAGTACGAAAAATTCGTCGTTGACTGCGATTCTCGAAGCCAGCTGTAAATCACTTCCTCTTTTCTCTACAAATGATGCCATATACCCAAATGACCGTGCCATATAACCAATGTCCACGACCGTTTGCTAATTGGAGCATCGTGAGCTGCATAGTGACCGCTGCAAGGTGCCACCACATTCCTGCATGCGTGCCGACTCTGAAAGTAAGCTGGGCGGTCGAAACAATAATCAAAGGAAAGGGCTCAACATCACGACTCACATTGACGAACGGGTGCATCTATGATTGGGTTTATGTGGAGCAAAATGTATACATGTGGCGCAGGTTCAATTTAATATCTGGTACTAGCTCTATCATTTTACTTGTTGCTAAGACATTTAGGTGTACTTTAATGATGCTGGTTGAAGGCCACATACAAAGGACACTCTAATCGTTGCACAGTCTCTGTTTGCGAAAAGGGCGCGCTTTTCAGACACAGCGAAGTAACAACTGAGACGCTTATTCGCGTCATCTGTACCTGTGAGTACGTTTCGTGCGTCATTTGTGCATGAGGAACACGGGGAACATTTTGATCTGCTTGCCATTCTGTGCGTGACCTTCCGATTTGTTGCTATCGCGTTCATTGCTTCGCCTTTGCAGCAAACTTTTTTTTGCAAACTTGGACCTGACTCTGCTATATTTTTTCTATTTGTAGGGGAGCCAAAAACATGAGTGCATCTCGTGACGGCTCGTCAGTGTCCCTCTCTCATCCGGCAAAGACAATCCCATAGAAAGGAAGAGAGACGCACCTTCAGCTCTCAGGGGTGCCAAGGGGCATGCCTACATTGAGTTTTCTATTATCTATTGTTTTTTTATGGAGCAAGCTCTCTTTCATCCTTCTTTCCTTCTTTTTTTGACCCATGTCACAGAAGGCAGTTGCTGAAACTAACAAAACTCAAAAACTTTGCGCACAGAGAGCTGGTACTTTCCTGATGTCCTGAGTACACCGAGGTATGCGTTCACTGTTTTTAGTTTCACTGTCTATAATATTGTGTAATTTCAGGTGGGTTTTCATTGTTTGCTGTCATGATAACTGTGAGCGAACAGCACTTTAATAGGAAGAATATTATGTTAGCATCTTTGCTCCTTGGTGCCATGTTTTTTATATGATAATGCTGCTCTACAATATTGCCAGGCATTAGTCATTAGTTTTGGATAAATAGCAGTCTACTCATTTTGTGTTGGAAGTTTCCAGCTGCATAACGCAACTCTCTTTTTGATATTTTTTTTTCTTTAGGACCATTTCATTGTAAATTGCACTCTGTAAATTCCAAGGTAGAGTGTAAGATAGCGCATTACATGTTTAGTTACTGTTCTGTGTACTTTGTGCAATGTTTGTGTGAAGATGCACTCATAGGAGTGTATTGAGAAGTAACACTTTACATGACCTGGTCAGGTTCTTAGAGACAGACTTTACGTATGGCTTTTCTAATTTTATAGAGGAGATTGTGCCATACTAACTTTGTGCCCATAATGAGGACCACTCTTGGCATGCAAGCAAATGTGCATTGCTGGGCCTGTTTTCCTAAAGGCATCTTTCCACCTCGCATTGTACATAGATTTGCCGTTGTGACGTATCCATTTGTTGCTGGCAGTCCTAAGCGTCAGTCACATTGAGGCATTTTCTGTTGTGTGAAATGCTTAAAGGGCTAAAACCTGAAATACATGCCAACTCGCTACTGTTGGGGCATGAGCAGGAAGTTCAATGTTGCCATTTCAACTCATCAGGGATCTACGTGAGCAGTAACAGCTTGTGGACAAAGACAGAAGAGCGATGTGAGACAGATTAGCTGAGAGTTAGCAACGTGTTTGTTCTTGCTCGTACGGCACTGGATTTTTACTGCTCATGCATGCAGGTCTGCCTTGACATACAGCAAAGGTACCCTATCACTCTAAAATGGAATGACACGAATATACTTGATAGACGGGTATGCTCCCTCTGACGTATCTTGGAGACTGAGTAATTCAGGATAACTTGGCATCATTGGATTCTTGGCAGCTTAACAGCCATGTCACTCATTTGAAGCATTTTTCTAAAATCTAGTAGTTTTACAAAAAAGTGTTTCGGGGACCCATTAAGCTATACTATTGCATACTGTCAAAAGTGTGCCTAAAAGTAGGTTTTGTTGCGATTATTTGATTTCATTTGTGTTTTGTTCAGGCTCATTTTTTTGCTGCCAGAGCTACTCATATATGTATTTGAAAAACACTTTCTTACCATCTCATTATGTTAATTATACTTGAAATGCAGGCACATTGTATTGATTGCACTGTTTATGCATTACAGTAGACTCTTTATGAAGCAAAGATGAAGAATGTGTGAAAGATTTTAAAAGCTGAGGAGTGTTCTTGAATTGTCTAGCGCTTCAGCTCTTAGCAGGTCTTGTCTTATAGCAAGTTCATTGAATACTCTCCTGTATGGTATCGCTTATTGACGAAGAAAGTAGGCTACTTACCTCTGAAAAGTGGCATTTGTCTTTTTCATTTTCACTTAGTTCAATAGATGTATGCTCCTATCCTCTCTATCAACTCGTTAAATGTCTTTGTTTACGGCCCTTGCAACATTTTTCATTACATACGCCCAAGGTTTGAGAACTGTTGTGTAGCAGTATCACTAAGGAATGCTTGCTTAGACTTGGCTTAAGTATGCAAGTCATCTTTGCATGTTCGTGAAGCACTGTTTTTCATTTTTAAACGAAATAGAGCCTGTACTTGAAAGAATTTTAGAGTGTTTGAACCCCACAGACATTCAAGTTCTTGGAAATGAACGAAACCAGCAGCGTAATGATTTCTTCATTTTAAGTTCAAGCTAATCCCTGTTTTAGAACACTGGCCTGTATAACGCTGCACTTTACTGCACTTTATTCCATGATGTTAACGTGATTCCAAAGCACAACTTACGACTGTGTAATCTCCGTGTATAATGTATTGTCGCTTCTGGTGTCACATTTCTTGTAGTGGCACACTACTCACAGTATACTGCTAGACTTGTTATTTATATGCTCGTTCCTGGCATTGTCTGGAATTAGGTTGCAGACAAACTGGCTTTATTGACTGCTGTGTGCACTGAAAGCCAAGCTAGGATGCTTAGCCTCCACTGTACAGTACCTATATTCGGCGTTATCCTGTAATATTCAACCTATTCTAGTGAAGTCTTTGTACAGTATGTACACCTGGGAGTTATTCTGCAAGCCTCGGCATATTTTAGCGGCTCCGACATTTCGTTTCGTTGCACTTTAAGATGCCACAGAAACAACATGTGCATAATTTGCTGTACGCTGTGTATACCCTATTTTTGTGTTGTGTTTATCTGCATCCTTGAAATGAAACCATGGTTTCACAAGTGCAATCAGCTCCTGTGAAAGTTAAGCAAATAGATAAAATGTCAACACCTTTTAGAGCCTACAGAAAACGGTTGAGTGTGTGCCTGTGATACCAGTAAGCAGATGCAATGGCTTGCGAAAATTGTGAGTGTTGCGAGTTGCAACGCTTAATAATTGGCATACATTTTAATTTTCTCGGCTTACATTTTGTCTGGTCATAATTGATCCGGCCTTTAAAGGCAATGAAGCAATGAAACTCAGTTTCTACTTTTTGGAGAAAACAATGAAGCCACCAAAGTGTGGTAATATAGAAGCATGCTTGAAACTCGTGCACTGTATTTTTTACATTACACATAGTGCACATGAAGAAGCTTGCATTTGGTCGAGAAAGTGGACCACACACCAAATAAACACACAAGCAACTCAAAGTGCCCGAGTAAAAATGTGGTAAGTTACTCAGGCCTGTATCTCAAATTCCTACACTAGTGAAACTAGAAATTCCACTCCCAGCAACTACTAGGGCATTCTCTAAATGAAACTCACTAATTTGACAAGCAAAACACATAAAGAGTTGAAGCATTTCGTCTTGTGTGCCCCTCATCTCTGCTGCGTGCTCGCCTGTCGAATAAGCTGGGACACTCTGACGGAACACTGACATGATATCCACCAGGCTGCTGCTTTTATTTTAACGCCCATGTACGTTTTTGCAGGTGTACAGAGAAGCAGCCTACACCAACAACGCTTGTGCAACTTGTGTGTTTTTATGAAGCTTCTCCTCCTGTACCACTAACATGCTTCCACACACTCCACACTTCTTAGTGCCATTTGTGAAAGCACAGTCCTGCTGCTTGTGCTGCTGTGTGACACATCGTTTGTACATGTCTAATACTTGCTGTACTCATTCCCACTGGGATATTTTTTCCTTTTGTACGCTCGCTGATTGTCCTAACGTGGATGAGTGTGTGCTTCTTTCTGGACGACGTAGAAAAGGACACTTGTCTAGTTTCCGATAAATGTTATGTGCCTTTCGGAAACATAGTTTTCGTGTCAAGGGAGTTGGTGGTTATTGTTTCATTTCAATTAGCTTTATGTTAATTTCTGTCTTTGCTGCTTTATTTTTCAAATGGGCATTGGATCTTTGCATGACAGATATGCTTCATTTTCATGTGCACATAACTTGCAAGTGCCTACATTAAGGAAAAGTTGTCATGTGAGTAAACATGCAAAAAGTGTGCTGTGCACGCTGTGTCTGTCTATATCATGGCAGTGCTGTTATTTATCCTCAGCTGCTAGTTCAGCTATGAAGAGATAATTGGCATTCGCCAGGTTACTGCAAGTTCTGCACTGGAAACATAGCATGTGTCATTGCATTTGCCTGCAACTTTTAATACATTAAAAGGTTTTCAAAATAGTGTTACAGCATGAAGTCATCAATGAAGGCAACAGTTGTGCCATTCCTTGTTACACATTTTGTTTGTTGTTTCAGTGGCATTGTGGGAATGTTCTCGGTGTGCAGTCATTGTGTTCACCTGTACTTGATTTATATTTATTATTAAGCCAAGTTACTCATGAAAGGGTTCATATTCCTTTTGAATGCTGTCTACGTAGTTTGTATATGGCTAGGGAAAAAGAGCAAGAGTGTTTCTGCAGCAGTTTCATTTTTGTGCAGTGATGTATGTCTATGGAAAGAGCTTTGTTAGTGTGCCTGCCCTGTGGCCTGTGCACATTTATGGCGGCCTAAAAGCTGTGGATTCAATAAATGTACCTTTAATTTAGGAATGAGGTACTTTGATGTCCATTCTTCTTTATCATAAAAAGTTATTGGCACATGATTTTCAAAACTGCAGAAGCTAGGCTTCATGCAGTAGTTAATGCAATGGGTTACTGTCCTGAGAAAACAGATGAGCAATCACTAAAATGAAGCTAATTGCTATTACTTTTCTCCCAAGTTTTATTATCCTTGTACAAATATATCAATTAAAGGAAGCTGACTTGGCTCCTTCAGTGTACCCTCTGAAAGCCTTCAAACTTCATTTTCACTGGTCTTCATTTCTTTTTATTGGTCGTATAAAGGCATTAATAGCCATGCTGAAAACATTTATTGAGCAGGCTAGAAGACAATACAATGTTTTAACTTATAAACACATTGAGCACAAGATCGTAGTTGCTCTATACATAGTTTCATGCTTGCGTCTTTGTATTTTGTAAAGTATTGGCTCTCTGAGAAGGCGCTTCTATTTGGACCAGTGAAAGACTAGCGAAATTATCTGCAGTTGATTTCTTGGCGTCAAGTTTTGTTGTCACTATCGATCGATATATCCCTCTTCAACCCCGCGACCAGTGTACTGGACGTAAAAAAAAAAACGGCTCAGAAAAGCAAGCATAGCTACAAGTGGAACTAAAACCACTTTGGCAGCTTCTGTAAGGGTTGGGCAATGTGCTTTTCAATGTCTTTCCTCCTTCAGTCCCATGCTTTTATCAGGGTGCATCCACGGAATGGCGGCATCCACGGAATGGCGGCATCCACGTGGAAACACGGGTGCACAATGTGGTCAAGTATGCAAAAATGTTTTGAGTTATGTTGAAGCAATTCAAATGATTTGAATCGTGTGAGCTGTCTCATGTCTTCTTGAAACATTCTTACAGTAAGGCAGATTTTGCAATCAGAAGCTTTCTGGCAATAGGACAATGAATGTATGTCCAGTACAGTGGACACCAGGACGCATTTGGCGCACGTCGTGCTAAACATGAAGAGAAAAAAGAAAAAGAAACGCAGCGTCAGATGACAATATTGAAGCACAGCCGTTAAATATCAAACTGGGGCATGCTGGGAATCTAACAAGAGCATGAAGCATGAGGAAAAAGCGGCGTCTGATGAGGTCGACTTGAGGGCGCTACATGCGCTCCCTCTTAGGTTTTTTCCCCTTGGTGGTGCTAAATGCTATGTGCAACGGCTAACCACGAGAAAAATTTTCTTGGCTCAAATTGAACTATTTGGGTTTATCATCATGAGATTATTAACCTTCTGACATGGCCAAAAGCAACACTGTCAAGGAAGATAGCAGAATGTGCGTAACCATGTGTGTAACAAAAGAATTCCAATTCATTTTACTAGACTGTTGTGAAAACCATTGCCCTTATGTCTCGTTTATATTTTTGTAGGCTTTTCAGTGGCCTCTTAGCTAGAAAACAATGTTAAAAACTGTTGTTCTACGGGGGGTCGGAAAGGGACGGGTTCTGCTCTGATTTGGATTTGCCTGTCAGAACATTCATATCCATGAGACTGGTGCACCGAATGACCTTGGGCGTTATGTTGCATTGCTACGGGATTATTCAAGAACGCAAAGGCTGCACTGACATTTACAGCTTTGTTCAACAATAATGTAACTGGTTACATTAACTTCGTTACTGAAATAAAAAGGATCAGGTCAATCTATGCAACTGTGCAACTGCTGAAGATGCAATTGATTACAGCCGATTGATTGGATTTTGTTTGCTAATTCCAAGCCTGTGTCTCACAAACAAATGCATGGTACACGGGGAGTATGAAAAGTGGGAAACGTTCGCGAATATTTGAGCTGGACTCAAATTGTATACTTGGTACCAATAAGTTTAGATGTCTTCACATGACACAAAATTGGCCCATGTGTAATAATAGTGGGCCCGACAGGTAACAATGTTGCTCATAGAAAGTTAACAGTCCAAGAACATTACATATTGCAGTTCTTGTCCGCTGCGCCTTCTGCAATTGGATTAAAAGAAAAGAGGACCTTGACGTCCTGAAAAACTTCTCACTTGCGAGTCCTGCAAATGATTAGCAGACAGTACAATAAAATTCTTATGAGTGCTCATGCAAACTGTCCAGCATTTTTCTGGGGGTTTATATGTCTCAGAATTTTGTGCAATAAATAAGACGTTTCTGCAGTTGATTATACAGCTTAAATAGTAAGGAATAACACCAGGGATGGAACGTAATGTGGCTGTATAACGGCGAGCTACTTACCATTTGATTGGCAAAGCAAGCATAAACATGTCATTAGATTCATTCGATTTATTTCAAATGAGCATAAAAATGGAGATTACATTTCGAAAGAAAGCGAAGGAATCACAGAAGTTAAAATACAAAGAACTAATGCAATTGACATGTGAATTGTTTAGGTAAATCCATTATTCGATAATGATAGGTATATTTCAAATTTTCAGATCAGATTTTAACACGAGCATCTATAGCACCGGCACAGACTGAGGGAAATATACAAAATAATACCGGGAATAGGCCTGATTATAGGCAAAGTCCGAGATGCTGCGTTCACCGGTTGTCATTAAACTGAAAGGACCGCACTGGTGATTTTAACTCGGTCAACAAATCGCGGAGACGCCCATTCGCACTATAGTTGGACACGACTTTAGAAGTCAGTAGTGTTTCCTGCCCAAAGGCCGATGCACACAAGCCTACACCAATGGGCGTGCACTATGCACTGGTATCATGAGCCGTATGGCCGGTAGCCCCACCTTGGGAGGAAACATTGCCGAGTGCATGAGCGGTTAAAACTTATTGGCGGGCTAGATTGTAAGACATTACAGCATATGGCAGCGCACACCTCATTACACAAAGAACACGCACTCAAAGGCAGTGCTTGTGTGGTCCCTTTGTGTGCGTATTCTTTGTGTAACCTAGCTAGTGTGCACTGCCATATGTTGTAAGGGATGAGCAGCACTGTTTCTTTAGTTGCGGAGGTGACCGGCTGCCGTGCTTCAGTCATCTAAGCTAGGCGTCTTCAGCCTTTTTGCAGGGGCCCTGCAACACTTTCTGAGCACGGTCAGAAAACGCTGCCAATAGGTAGTCGAGGCTCCCGCGGGAACACGCGAGCCAAATATTGCGCAGCATGCGGCCTGGAATTCACAATAAATTGTCAAAGTTAGCTAAAATTTGCTTTCTCTTTTCTCTGAAAAGGACGCTACAAGCTTAAAAATCGCTCGTCACAGCCATTGTACCAGCCATTGGCTGATTTGAGCATGGCGTGCTCGTTTGTTACTGGGGCAGCCGCGGGAGGTCGCGACTTGTCCACGCGTGCGTGCGCGATTGCACTGAAAAGCCGCCTATTCGAAGACAAAATAGAGAAAAAGGTGCTCAAGAAGCATGCGTGACGTATTTTGTTTTTTTCTTTTTCTCCATGCCATTCATCCCTTCTTAGCTTGCAGTGCTTTCGTTGGGATGAGAGGAGAGAGAATGCAGTTGCAGCGTGCAACAAATCGATTCTAAAAGTTTTCGCGGCGTTGAATTCATGAAACAATAAGCTTATTTAGCGAATTCATTCCATGACTACTTGAAAGAGTGTTGCAGGGCCTCTTTAAGTTGTCTTTGACTGTGTGCATGCACACTATGCACTGCAATGAATGTACACCAATTGCCGCTGATGTCGGCTAGAGTTACTGTATATGCTACCTAATGTAACTAAGTAACTCTAATGTTGGCTGGTTTGGGCACATGTACTTTATACCGGATCCCACGCTCATCTGATAATCTCGAAGGCCATTGCGAACCACGCTCACAAATACGTCTGGTTACACTGATCGTAACCACGAAAGATTGGCGGGAACTTAGATTCTTGTATTCGAATGTTTCCGTCAAACGTTCGCGCAGCCGAGGGTCGTATGCAGGACCACAGCCACAGAGGCATACGCAAATGTAAACCAGGATTAATTCATACATTGACGCAATGATATAACCATAATGAGTTTTCACATGGTGATCACAAGAATCACGTTTTCAGGCTGTGAAGAAGAACATCTGGACGTATAGCGTTGGATGTCGAGCATAGTGTCCTGGCACGGCACTTTAATTACGAGACACTTCTGCTGGTGAGAGCACGAAATAAAGAAATGGTAAGAAATCAGCTTTGCCGTGGAAGTGTGTAGGCGCGTCTAGTATTCCGTATACATTGTGTCACGGGGTATGCTTTCGAATAGGCTCTTGATCATTTCCTTCGTTCGATGGGCTGCGCGCATTGTCCTACTACTATATGCTGCTATCACTAGAGTAGTTTACTGCACATCTCGCTTTTCTGAAGCTATATAAACATATCGAAGACTTTTATCAACTGTGTGCTAGAACCAGCGGCAAAGTTCTGCTAGCAGTGGCGCACGAACTCTTTCGCGGGGGCCCGATTACGTAATACGTCACCCAAGATATGTATAGGTAATTGTAAAGAGGTATCAATTCGTCTGTGGTAGTATTACTTTTTTTTTCATTACAATCTGTTTTGTCTCGGTGGTAAATACATCGATTTGAGAAATATGGAGACATTCTAGCGTAATCCTTTCTGGAGACTTCTACGGGGCAAACGAGGGCTAATAAACGTCGTTGAATCGTATTGCTCTGCTATATTCACTCCTACATTATATCGCGTACGAATATTTATGAGGCAGTCAACCGAATCACAGTTACTCACTAGCTAACAGAGTGCCCTGGTCATGTCACTGAAATTAGGTGCGTGAGAAGTAATTATGCCGAAATAAAGGCTTCGATTAGCCGACGTTTATTCACATGCCATGTCTTTCACAGTGAAAGTGCCAGAGCTGTCACCGTCTCCTTTTTCGTCATTTGAATTTTGATTGTTTTGGTAGCATAACGGCAATATCAGTGCCATGGTTATTTACTGTATACTCTCAACTGCATCCAAATCAAAAGGTCACGAAAACTAAATATTCGCCGAGGTATACAGGCTACTGAAGAAAGGAAAAAGAGCAAATTTTCCCTGCTACGTAACACCACAGTGTTT